AAACAGGAAATTTTGGACACATGCAAGTCAGGCTGGTCCACAGCCACCTGTGTGGGCTGAACATGCTCCAGGGCTCACAACATGCCTGTTGAGATGAAAGACTCTAAAACGACCTGTTTCCAGCCTCCCACCTTCAATATTTCAGCAGACGTTCAAAAGGAATCTGGAGTGGCAGGCTCTGGTGGAAGAGAACAGAGGAGGCACAAAGCACACCCCAAGCACTTCCCCAAAGCAGCTCCACCCTGCAAGCACCAGTGAAGTCCCTGGGTCCAGGAGGTATCGAGATGGTGCTTGTCCACTATGTGGTCAGAAGACATCAGATATGCACACTCCAACTTTGTTTCTGTCCCACTCACCAGCTTCACAGTGTGGCCCTGGTCACAGGAACACAGGCACCACGCTTCCTGGGGTGGCTCCCGAGTCACCTGTAGGGTTTGTTCCAGGGGAAGACTTTAATTTACAGGGACAGCAGTGTGAGAAAGGGCTACAGCCACAGAGGAGTATCTAAGCACCTGGCGTGGGGTCTCTTTCCAAACTGCCCTAATTCACCAGCAGCTCCACGCTCAGGTCTGCCCTTCAGGGCTGGGTAAACATACTGATGAGTGTGCAGGTTGATTGAGCTTTTGACAAGGTCTTTTCACCAAAAGCATCATTTGAAAAATGGCAAATGTCCAGGTAGGAATGTGTTCCATTAGTGCATTTCTAACATAAGAGAACAGATGCCAACTTGACAAGAATTTGAGAAATTTAATTCCTATTGCTGTGAAGCAGCAGAATCCTGCTTGAGAGGGTGCTGACGGGTTTATGAGTGTCTCCTCGAGTTCAAGTCGGTGTGAGAAACAGAGCCCGAGACTCAGGGAAAGCTGTAATAGGACCTAAAACTCAATCCTCCAGTGACAGAAATGGTATGGCCTCCTGCTTTCAGGAGAGTCAGGCAGGGTGTTTGTTAGCCTGCTTACGGTGGTCCAGTGATCCCCTGTGGCTGCCTCTTCTCTCCAGGCTCCCAGGAAGAGGGAGGGCGTGTGTGTGCGGGAGGAGGCCTAGGGCTGGTGTTTGCGACCCCTTGTGTTTGGAAGAGCAAGGGTGTTTTACTGCTGGTTTGGGGAGGAAGGGAAGGATCCATAGGGTATCATGAGGAAAGCCCTGTGGGAATGGCAACTGTTGGTGCCACCAACTGAGTGTCACTTGTCCCACCACAGGCAAGTGGACAAAGAGCAGAGGCAGATGGCACTGGGGGGACCAAGTAGGGTCTGCAGAGACTTTCACTTAGAACCAAAGTCCCAGAGCCTTCCTGGCCCAGTCCCTCATGTTATTGATGCCTAAACTGAGGCCTGGGGACAGGAAGGGACCTGAACGCCACTCAGCATGTTGCCTGCAGAGTCGGGCCTGGAGGCCGGGTATCCAGATCCACAATCCAGTCTCTGCCCTGCTCTCTGGAGCCCCAGCCTCTGATGCCAGGAAATGGCCCTGGAAGGTCACTTAGCAGGGAAGCAGGGCCCTCCAGGGGAAGGCGTGTTCAACAGTAAATCACCGGCAGTGAGGGTGGAAGGGGACTCTCGGTTGCCATAAATGTCCTCGGAATTGTAAAATGAGCCTGGGGAATATTGACATGAATTAAATCCAATAAAACATTCATTTAATTAAATTTAAATGATCCAAATATTTGCTGTTTGGTTAATATTTGTGTAGCTGACAGGAGCAGAATTATGATGGTTCTGCCAGTATTCACACATTCTAATTTTGCATGAGCTTCCCTATGCACACTCATACAAATGATCGGGGACACACTCAGGAAGCATGTGGCGACCCGCTCTCTCAGCGGCTTCCCACCCAGGTTTTTGTTGGTTAGTTGTTTGTTTTTTAGTCCTGTGTAAGGCTCCTCCAGATATTTTTCTAAAACTGTTTGGAATACATGATTTGGGGATCACACGGAGGAGGAAGATCCTATTACACGTACGTCTTACATGCCAAAAGAGACCCTAGCCAATCAGAATGCCTCCCCCGCCCTCACTCCCCCCCATCCATCAGCCCAGACCCCGCCCCCATTTCGTAAGACTCGTTGGGGGCGGAGTCTCAGGCCTCAAGGTACCTTGGAAGACCCTGGAAAGCTTGTCAAAACTCACCGGAAAGTCCATCAGCCTGGGCTGCGGGGCAAGAATCTGTTTCTGTCAGTGCCCCTGAGACGTGATACGGGGGAGGGGGAGGGGAAACCGTTCCTTGAGAAGGGGAGCTCTGCATGCCCGGAAGTCCCACCTCCTCCGAAGGCCCCCCCCCTGACTGCCCAGGTGGTCTTTCCCTTGCAGTCTGAGCTCAAAGGTGCACAGAAAATGTAGGTTCCTTTTGTAACATACCTGACTTCTTCACAAGCCCCACCCACTGGCCACTGGGAGAAAGCGCAGCTCAATGTTCAGTCCGTTGTGAAGCTTAATCGGAGCTGATCATTTTTGCAGTCCACATAAGCAACGCTCTCCGAAAGTTGCTTCGTGTCTCCGAGTCCCACTCCTCCCACTCCGGTGTTCCCAGCTGCTCTCCAGGATGGTTTCTGAGTGTGAGGGAAGAGCATGGATGTCCTCTGCCATCTCTGGCTCCCACTGTCCAAGCCCCCCACCCTCGCGAAGTCCCAGGTCCTCCGGGCAGAGGTCAGCCTGGGCTTTGCTCTCGGTCTGGGCTCTCAGCCTAGTGCGGTACAGGGTCTGCTGTCTGCCCCCAGCTCAGTCCCCCGCAGCCGCCGCTGGCACTGCGCGCCCCTGGAGGTCCAGGGACATTCTCCCAGTGTCATGGCCTGGAATCCCGGTGACGTCCGCAGGCACTGAAGTGCAGAGCACTTACGGGCAGGGAATCTCTGGCCCTCTCCACACCGCTTGGGAGCAGAGGGGGCTCTGGCAGATAATTGCAGGCCCTGGCTCTCATGCCCTGTGTGATTGCCCCAGGCAAAGAGAGGGCAGTCTGGGGGGGGAGGGCTCAGCCACCTTCTAGAGCCCCCCTTGGTTCCTGTACACCAACAGGTGCACACCCTACCCTACCCATGGCTCCCTTTTTGTTCCCACAGTCCCCTGGGACAAGGAAGGAGAAGTGCAGAGCACTTACGGGCAGGGAATCTCTGGCCCTCTCCACACCGCTTGGGAGCAGAGGGGGCTCTGGCAGATAATTGCAGGCCCTGGCTCTCATGCCCTGTGTGATTGCCCCAGGCAAAGAGAGGGCAGTCTGGGGGGGGGAGGGCTCAGCCACCTTCTAGAGCCCCCCTTGGTTCCTGTACACCAACAGGTGCACACCCTACCCTACCCATGGCTCCCTTTTTGTTACCACAGTCCCCTGGGACAAGGAAGGGAGCCATTCCATACTCTTTCTACTTGCTCAGAGCAGGAGCCTCTGGGCTCACCCGATGAGGAAGGAGTCCTCAACATTCAGGGAGCACTGGATTGTGAGTCCTGAGGCCAGCACAGACCAGTGGGAGCTAGGCAGCTTTAGCAAGTTCTTCTCTCTCCCTCTCTCTGACCACTCTGAATCTCCGAAGCCTGGGTCTTACTACAGAGGGTTAGTGCCTTCTCTCTTCTGCCTGACAGGGAGCCTCAGGATGCAGAGGTGGGAAGGCAGCAAGCAGAACATGATTTAGGAGGGAACTTCACATGCGTCACTTTAATGCTTGTAAAATATTATGCCAGTTGCGTCTGCATCAGTCACATGGTGCTTATCTTCCTTCACACGGGCTCCTTCAGCAGGAGTCACATTTTTCCTGCATGTGATTGTCCCCTCTCCACTGGCCTGCTGGTTCCTTTGGTTCTTTTTTATTTTTTTTTCCACTTTGACAATTTTCTTCCATCCATCCAACAAGCACTGATTCAGCACCTGGCCTATGCCTTGTACATCTCCATGGGCCCAGGGCTCTGCTTGCTGCTCAGGATCCAACCTGACTGCACATCTTTGACCATCACCTGCTGTGCAGAACGTGGCACCTGTGGCTGTCTCATCCCAACATCCCCTCCCGTCCCCACATACACTGGAAGAGAATGGGAGCACTGCTGGGCTCCCTGGTCACAGCTCAGAAGCATCCCACTGAACCACAGAGCTCAGTCCCCAACTCTGCCTTGCAGGGGCCCCAGGTTCCAGTTGAAACATAAGAGGTAATAGGGCTCCCGGAACTTTTTGCTGGCATCCCAGAATAAGCACAGGCCCCCAAAGCCAGCCAGCCTGCCTCCTTCAGTTCATGCTGCCTCTGGCTACTGCCCCAAGCCCACCGAGCTGTAGGCTTGGGGAAGAACAAGGAGGCGGCATTCCTGTCCGTGGGCTGGTGACTTTTTGTCCACACCTGATCCCGTCTTGTCATTTGAACAACCTGAGTTTGAATAATTTTTTCATAAATTGTGAGAATTTCAAAAAGCCTGTGATTGCAGGGAAATAGTTTAGACCCTTCCCATTTGCCTAAAGAATGATCAGTCTTAATGCCAGTTATCAAGTACAACATGACAAGGATTAATAATCTGTGCAGCTTGAAATACACTTCACAGAATTGAAGGCTACAGTGCATGGTCACTGAACAGAAGTCCAGATCCAAATCTGGTGAATCCTGTCAGCCAGTCCATTCCCCAGACTTCAGACAGTGCAACCTTTAAATTGCCCCCAGATGGATGAGAAACCTTTCAGCTCAGCCAGCGGAACTCGACTGCACTTAGCCAGGCGCAGACGTCATGGGGCCTGCGCACGCACAGGGCATCCACCACAGCTGGCTCCCTGGTCTGTGTGTGACAGGCCACATTATCAGCTTGATGCACAAATCCCTAGCACAGATGGTGGCCATGCACCAGCCGTGGTTCCTGACCTGTTTTGACTCACAGAGCCTTTTGAGCATTTGACATAAGCCATGGCCCCTCTCCCAAGCAAAGTGTCCATCTGTACATTTAGTCAGCACGTCGTAGATGGTCTGTGTTCTCCAGGGAGCCCACATCCACCGGGGCGCTCCACCCCCGGGCCCACACCTGACCGCCTTGTCCTTTACCCTGCAGAGGTGGTTCAGCTCAGCCTGGCCCCTGAGGAGAGAGTCCGCGTGGCCACAGTGACCGTGGGGCTGAGCACAGTGCTGACCTGCGCTGTCCATGGATACCTGCGGCCACCCATCATCTGGAAGCGCAACGGGCTCTCCCTCAACTTCCTGGACTTGGAAGACATCAATGTAAGTCACTGCTGACTCTGAGCTCTGATGTGCCCCCTGGGAAGTAAACTGTGCCAGACACCTTGTGGCAGGGCCAGAGGCTTTTATTTTAACCTCCCACGTTTGATGCCCTTCAAGCCTGTTGTCTGATAGCTGGAGTTCCCAGAAAATCCAAATCCCACCGTATGCAGAAAATAGGATGGATGGTGGCTGTAAGCCTGCCAGCTAGGCCCAGAGCAGGGAGAGGGTATGCTGATCGAGGGACACAGTGGGCAGGGCAGTAGCTCTCTGTGGGCAGTGGTGAAGTCCAGGAGGCGGGCACGGGAATGGATGAGGAATGTGCCATGTGCATGAGCCCAATGCTCAGGCCAGTGGGGAACACGGGCAGGCAGGAGGCTCTGGAGCAGCGAGGGCATGCGGCTGGGGGACCTGGGAGACTCCAGGCCCTAAACGCTGGGTAGGATGGAGACAGCTGGAGGAGGAAGAACGGGTGTGCCCTGTGGGAGACAGACGTGAACCGCCGGGCTGGGATAGCTCGAGGGTGGGGGCCAGGCGAGGAGGTGACAGGCGGAGATGGGCCAGAGGGGCCTGCCCTGGGGCCTCGTTTTTTGGGCAGGGAAATGGGGATGCACTTGGTGAGCTGATGGAGGAGAGCAGCTGAGCTCACAGCCTAATGTGACCAACAGGGGTACTTCTGTGCCCTTGGGTCCCAGCGATACCACATACCAGCTTCTTAACTGGGAACAATTTCTAAGTGCAATCCTCAATACATTATTAGACACCAGCATTAGTGGCACCTCCCTTCTATTGGACTTGAAGGAAAAAGGGACCAATTTAAGTGTATTGATGGCCCTGGTTTTGGCACAAGGAGTCAGGTGGCTTCCCAGAAGTTCATATGAGAAGACAGAGTGATGTCACCCTGTCTGCCAGGGCAACCGATGAGTCTTAAGCTACAGTAATAGGAATATAAGCGCCAGGCAACAGAGGGGGCAGCCCTGGGCTCCTTGGCTCAGGACAGCCCAGTGGTCCAGAATGGGATGCCCAGCCCTGAGAGGGAGGATGCGTGGGGTAAACACTAAGTTCCCACTAACATCTCTAAGGTGGGCAGGGGGGCAGGAAGAGTTGGCCTGGGCTGCGTGACCCCATGAGTTGGGCCAGCACAGAGTGCCAGCATGCACCCCAACAAGAGCCCAGTAAAGGCTGCTTAGATGGAACACCATTCCAGCCGTCAGAGCGGCCCCGTCATGGAGCTAGTCATCACAGACCAGTGAGCCCCCATCCCTACAGGCATGCAAGCTCAAGCAGGACCGTGGTCAGCAGTGCTACTAGCCGTAAGAGGGCAACTAACCCAGGACCTTCACGATCCTTTTTAGCGCCAAGACTGCTTTGTGGGGAGAGAGCCCAGCATGAAATTCTGCAGAAACCACCAAAGCTGGGACTCTGTGCCTCCCTAGGCCCTTTGGCTGCACCCAGGAGATTATGGAGGAAGCACATGGGACAAGCAGACTGCTGCGGAGGTTCTACTCTGGGCAGAGCTGGGCATGGAGGGCCCTGCCCCCACCCTGGTCACAATGGGCAGGACTGTTTCCTTGTGATTTCCCCACTGTGGTGAGCGTAGCCTGTATGCTACCCACCTCTGAATGCCAGTGCCAGCACAACCCTGGTGGGTGCTTGATGGATAGATGCTAAGTGGGCAGAGTCCTTGTCTTCTGAGCCTAAGTCCATGGCTTATCTGATCTTCACAAGGAAAGACAGTGTCCTGTTTGTGGGGTGCATGTATGTGTTGGGGTGCACAGGTTTGTGTGTACAAAAGCTCTCAAGATGGAGCGTCAGCTTTTGACCATGTTTGGCAAGGGATGACTGATTCAGAACTAGGGCAGGTCCGCCTGTGTCTGTCTGAACATCCATGTGCATTACTCGATGCTCTATTTAAAGACATCAGAAACAAAGGCAGAGGCAAAACTCTTAATGCACTTGCCATCAGTTAATTAAATTACTTTGAGTGGTTTTCCCCTCCCTCGAACATGCCTCCAGCACCAACTCAATTGCATTTCTACTTTTCACAGTGAGGTTAGCAATTTGGGTTAATCGTGGGTGCAGGTGGAGATTAATGGCCTCTCCTTACCTCCCAGGAAACACTTGCTGCTCATGGTCAAATCAACAGTCCACAAGCAGGGCCGTGTGCTTCCCAGAGACCCCTGGGCGAGGGTGCAGGGCAGCACCAGCCCCACAGGAATCCTCACCTGATGCGTGCTGTGTACACAAAACACAGCACACATACACGCGCACACCTCCCCATGCCTCAAGGAGGGAATAGAGGCAGCACGGCCTTAGTGAAGGGCACAAGCTCTGGGTCAAAGGGACCTGGGTTTAGGTCTCAGCTCTGCCACTTCCTGCTTGAGTGAGTTGAGTGACCTTGGAAAGAGCACTTGACCTCTCTAAGCCTCAGTTTCCTCCTCTGTGAAATGGAGATAAATAACATCTAACCCTGTGCCTCAGAAGGTTAGAGTGAGGATTAAATGGGAAAATACACATGAAGTTCCTGGCATACAGTCGTCCATGCTATTATCACTCATTATCATCACTCGTTATCATTATTGCTATTATTATTGTTATTACCGCTGCTGCTGCCAAAAACATTCTCAACACCTTGCAACCTAAGTCTCCCAAAAGCAGCCCGCAGCAGCCCAGTAAGCCTCCCTAGTCAGGCAGATATGCCCCTGGGTGCCCCTGCTGCCTGCAGTCAGGGGTGGGCAACACCATCCAAGCAGCCTTGACGCAGCCTTGTCTCAGGGACAGGGACACTGACCAGCCATCTCCAGCAGGTCCCGAGCCGTCTTGGGTGAGCTGTTGAACTTCTCTGAGCCTGTGAGGAAGTGGGACTGATGGTGTCCTCCTTGCCCGGGGATTTTCAAGCTGAGTGTGTGTGAGGCACGGAGCCCAGAGCCCGGGCTGGTAGGTGGCAGCCCCACTCCTGGGACACTGCAGAAAATCAGACAGGAGAGCGGGAGAGCTAGGTCATTGGGATTCATGGGGCACTTTGGGAGCAAAAATGGGACTGGTGGGTTCCTAGAATCCCTCAGCCTGCAGTGTCTGAGCACGCACCCCACCCGCCGCCGTCAGAGCTGAAGTGTCATCACCAGCAGTAATGAACGACTGGCTCAAACACGGCGCTTACAAAACCCAAGGCGGAATTAACATATATAAAAAGAAACAGAAATGAGCTGTTCACCTAACTAGTATTATTCTGACTTTAAAACATTTTAGATGTTTAATTTAAAAATATATAATTGTGTAACAAAACAAAAACCTACATTAATATTTCAGTGAATAATGACCCAGTAGAGAACAACAAAAATACCCCAGGGGGGGCAGCTTAGAGAGGGTGCAGAGCTGCCGGCCCCCTTTTTTGGTCATTTGTATGAGACATTTTGATTGGCAACAAAATATTAATCACTTTTTCACTACTCTCTTAATGAGAAGCTTTGATGGACAACAAAATATTAATTTGTCTTGTCTTATCTGTTAAGAATCCTGTTAATGAATTCAGTCACAGAGCTGTTACAGAATGCCGTCCTAATGACACATGTGATTAAACTTTTCTGACTAGCAAACATCAAGGATGCCTCAAGCATTGGAATAACATTTGATCAGAAAGGAATGTACCCCTGCAGCCCAGAGCCACGTGAGAAGGAGCTTCTCAAACCCCCAGCGAGGATTGTCGAGCAGCACCTGATGTGTGCCTCTCTCCGTCCGGATGGCGTATGTGGGGGGTCATCCCCGGGCTCACTAAGTGCCAGCACCTCACCGCCCCTGTGCCAGAGTGTAGGCACACTTTTTCCCCGGCCTCTTGGGAGGTGAGGTACCCAGGAAGACCGAATTACCACACTGTGTGGCTGTTTCTGTATGAGGAGGGAGCCAGTCCTGGGGACCAGACAGAGAGATTCTGTGGCCTCAGGGCACAGGGATAAAAGCAAGGGAGAGAGAAATCTGGAATGACAGGTTGGGTTGAATGTTAACATAAAAGATCTTGGTTGTTCCCTGGGGGGAATGGGAACTATAGATTTTTAATCAGGAAATCGCTGGGATCAGGGAATGACAGGTGTGTGTCCTGCAGGAGTCCTGAACCCCTTCCAGCCTAAGATTAAATATGCCCCCAAGGAGGCTCCCCAAATAAGTGGGACCCAGAGACAAGGGGTGCCCTGCTGATGTTCCGGTGGTCTTCCTCCTCGGTAACTTCCCAACGGCGTGCTCGGAGCTGTGCAGCACCCCAGGCTTCCTGAGGCCCCTGCACAGGCTTCCCTCTCCTTCTTCAGGATGCCGGAAAGTTCAGCATGAGCCTGGGGTGCCTCCTGGGGATGCCTGAGCCACCCCTTTGCAGGAGGCCTCAGCGTCACCCCAGCCCAGCCTCCGTGCCCCTGGGAAAACAGACCACCCCCGAGCAGAGAGCAGCATTAGGGACCAAGAGTGCCAAGTCCCCAAAGACAGGCGCTCCCCTGCAAGGGCAGCGGTCTGGAACTCCTGCTGCGCCTCTAGGCCTGGGGTCTGGATTGCGCCGCCTCCTTCTGTTTGATGGATGAGAAACCAATAGTTCCTACTCCTGAGCATTTTCCCCAGAGCGAACAAAGGACGGCATACTTTGTTTACTTCCTGGTCAGCTACTGGTTTCTTTACTGAAGCAGTTGAGCATCTGGGTGGCTTCAGACCTGGCTCTGCAGCTCCCCACCTCAGCCTGAGCCCCACCATGTCTGTCTGAGGCCAGGCTGGAGCTTGAGGCGCAGCCCAGGAGTGTGCTGATGCCGGTGTGACCCTAGCCCTTGCCCCGCCAATCCTCACTGCGGGCCTGAGTCCCGCCCTGGTCTCAGCACCATGCCTTGTTGGGCACAGGCGGTGAGTCCCTCCCAGGGGCACAACACAGCCACAGGAAGCCCTCTGCAAGGGGACAGCAATATGCCAGTCACTGCAGGTACTAAGCAGAGGGGGCTGACCAAGAGGCCTTGGGGCCCTGAGGTCCTACAGTC